GAGGGGAATCATGTCATACTAAAGTTGGAGAAGACAAGTCCACATAAGCAAAATTGTCCGCAACAACATTTCCTTCGCAATATATGTGAAACCCCGTCCCAAATTTAGTGTATTTTCATATTGACGAATTTATGAAATTACCATTTTGCCCTTGAATTGACTTTGTTTGATCGTCTCGTTGAAACGGGTAATGTTAATTTTCTTAAATTATTCTTAACGTACTTATCGCCACGAACGAGTAAGTACAAACGGATTCGAATTCGGATTTATAACGAAGAGTCTATGTTCAAACATTGAACGTTTGCGAATATTTTATATTTCATCTTACACGTTCTTGAATTGTGAGCCACTAGGATCCACTTTAAAAAGCTTGTCTCCTTACTTTTTCCCCTTGGACCCGTGCATCCCCTTTCCCCTTTTTCTTTTTCTGATGTTTGTAACTCTCTCTCTCCCCCTCACTTCTCACTTTCTCTACCTTTTGTTTTTTGACATCCTGAATCCGTTTATGACGTCCGTTTTTCGAAATTCAACCTTTATATAGAGTTTTATAAATTGGACCTTTTATGTGCTTAGGAATGATTATCAGTGGCGTTTCTGTCCCTTTTTTTTCGCACGGCGACGACAGAGTATCTGTGAGTAGACCCCTACTAAAATGCATATTTTACTATTAGAAATACATACATGAAAAACATGATTTAATGGTTATGTTTTATGAGTAAATTAGATTTTACATATTATGAGATATCATGCTTTACTGAGAATATTTTGGAATACCATACTTTATCGATTTCTTTTTCTTTGTAGTACATATGATGGATGACTATATACTATGAAGATGTTTTGAGATATAATGTTTGAGCTACTAAGCTCCGTTGAGATATATGTACTTATGTAGGAAATATTATATTCAATGGTTTTGTGCTTATCTAGGGGTCATTGTTCTGCCTACGGACGATGATACTTATATTGTCTTCGGCATGGCGTGTGCAGGTGGCTTCAGCCGAAATATACTTATATTGGCTTTGGTCGGGCTTGTGTAGGTGGCTTCAGCCAGAAGATATTTATGTTGGCTTCAGCCTGGCGTGTGTAGGTGGCTTCGGTCGGAAGACTTCTATATGCCTTCGAGCGATACTAATGCCACTATTTAGCACATTATATATGATATATGTTTTATGAAGGTTTTATGGCATGCTAGGGTTTTCAAAAAACCTACTATATATTATGCTATTGAGTTTTCATAAACTTTGGGGGTTAGTACGTTGAATAATTGTTTCTGTATTATTTATATATCAACTTGGTCCACTCACTTTTTTTTTTTGCACCCACTCATGACAAAGGAATGAGGCATACGATCAGAGCTATGAGACATTCCCCTACCAATGATATTGTGTCATCTTCTCTGCTTTTGACTTCACCTGTAATAGCACTTCTTGTTACACCTTCCGCTTGTATTTTGAATTAGATATATGCTTTGAACATGTCATGCATTAACACATTCATTTTATTTGACAATTGACTTTTTTTAATATTATTTTGGTAAAGTTTATATTTGAATATTAAATTGCATAGTTCGCATGAAATTTATATGCATGTTTCACATGTTCTCGGCATATGCATTTATTAAATGGCTTGCATCACCCTCGGGTGTCGGCTAGCATGTGGCCATCCCACTGTCCCCTGGACATCGGGATTGGGGCGTGTTAGATTGGTATCAAAGCATACTTAGGACTTCATTTTTCCATTTGGTAAATTATAACCTTTCTTGTGGCCATAGTCTTTCGTTCTTCTAAATTTTGTTTGCCTCTTATTAGAATCATGGATAATTTAGGTGGGAATGTACCTCAACGACCTCGTTCTGGTTTAATGGGAGGAATTCAGTAGTTGACCTCCGCTTACGGAATGTTTTTCTTGGTAGTAGCAAGCCGAGTCGTACACACACTAAGCTTGCTCATAGCCACGACGTTACAGAGCTTAATATGGTTGGAGCCTATGAGGAGGCTGATGATTGGTTGGAAAAGATGGAAGACACTTTAGAGAGTATGAGATGCCCATCATCTGAATGGGCGAATACCGATGGTTACTTCATTAAGGGGAATGCGAGATATTGGTGGAAGTTAATGAAAAGCTCTCGCCCACATAATTCTTTGATGACTTAGGCTACATTCAAGAGACTTTTCATCGCACACTGTTTTAGCCCCGATTATCAGCTAAGGAAGATACAGGAATTCATAGAGTTCTGCCAGGGCAATCTGAGTATTACAGAGTTTGATAGCATTTTTCGGTGCTTGTCGAGACACCAAGAGGGAACCTATGGGAACCAGCGGGAGATGATGATACAGCTGCATATTGCTATGAACCAGGACATTTGTGAGCTTCTGGCACCACAGAGGTATGCCTCATACAAGGATATGCTTGAGGTGGCTTTGAGGGTCGAACAGACAAGGTGGATCAGACTTAACCAGAATCAGCCTTGAACTCAAAATCAGCCTCGGAACCAGAATCAGTGGGGTCGTGGATTCTGATTCCAGAGTATGAAGGAGCCTTCTACTTCTTCTCATTCATTCGGCTCGAGACACTCTCAGTCGTTGAAACAACATGGTCAGGGTTCGGGATCATCCAGCGAGGGCTCAAGTAATGAGTCGGTGAGGTAATCATTTAGCCACTTTAATTCATCGATTGCGGCTTGCGCGCATTGTGGTATGCACCATCTTGGAGATTGAGTTGTGAGTGCTGCCATGTATCACCGGTGTGGTGTCACTAGGCACTATGCCCGTATTTTCCCTTCGACGAACCTATCAGAGAGTTACGGTGGGGGAAGTAATCTGAATACTCAGAGTTATAGCGGTACTAAGAGTTATGGCGGCAGTAGTAATTCGAGTACCTAGTTTTCTGCTCAGTGATAGCCACATCATTCTAGAGCAGCTTCAAGCAATCGTGCTTAGGGGAACTAAGCCGGCCGCAATAGTCAGGGCATTAATACTCGAGGCAACCATAACAGTGGTTTGGGACGTCAGGCTCATGGGCATATCAACGCCATGACTCAGACTCGCAACTTGCATCGCTCAATTATGATATGTTTATACAATTGCCACTTGGAGATCTATTCTATGCACAATTGGAGTTTAGGGATTGCCCAGTTATTGTTGAAGGGGAACTTATGAAGGCCAATTTGATTCCCTTCAAATTTTGGAGTCCAGTGTCATTCTAGGAATGGATTAGCTATCTAAGCATAATGCTTATGTTGAATGTAGGGAGAAATTGGTGACTTTTGATTGGCCTAGACGACCAGCGATCACATTTTAGGGTAAATAACGGATCCTCCAGAATAGTATTATCTTCACCATCCAGACAACAAAGTTACTGTAGAAGGTTTTGTGGGCTTCTTAGCTCACGTGGTCACGCAGGGTGAACCTTCTCTGTGTGTTGGAGATATACCAGTGGTGAACGAATTCACCGATGTATTTCTTGAGGATTTGCCGGGATTACCATTTGCGAGGGAAATCGAATTCACAATTGATTTACTTCCAGGTACCAACCATATTTCATTGGCACTATACCAAATGACACCGATTGAGTTGAGATAATTGAAAATTCAACTTCAAGGGCTTGTGGACAAGGGTTACATCCAGCCCAGTATGTCTCCCTGGGGCACTCCTGTATTGTTTGTTATGAAATAATACTTGCATCGACTACAGACAACTGAATCGGGTGACAATGAAGAACTATTACCTCCTGCCTTGTTGATGATCTATTTGACCAATTAAGAGGTGCTCAAGTGTTTTCTAAGATCGATCTTTGTTCAGGTTACAACCAGTTACTTATTCGGAACAAAGATGTACCGAAGACTGCTTTCTGCACTAGGTATAGACACTATGAGTTCCGTGTCATGCCTTTTGGGTTAACTAATGCACCCGAGCTTTCATGGATTTGATGAATAGAGTTTTCAGACTGTATCTCAATCAGTTTATGATTATATCCATTGATGTTATCCTGATCTACTCCAAGAATAATGTTGAGTATAGAAAACATCTGAAGTTGGTGTTGGAGAGATTAAGGAAGCACTAGCTATTTGTGAAGTTCAGTAAGTGTCAGTTTTGGCTAGACCAGATTAGTTTCCTCGGGCATATGGTTTCCATTGAGGGAATTAGTGTGGACCCTCAGAAGATTTCGACAGTGTCTAAATGGGAGCAACCGAGGAATGTTACTGAAGTGAGGAGTTTTTTGAGACTGGCTGGCTATTACCGATGTTTTATGCAGGATTTCTCGGCAATCACCTTGCCTATTACTAAATGACTCAGAAAAGGGTCAAATTCTACTGGGATGAAAATTATGAATGGAGTTTTCAAAAGCTTAAGCAGTGTTTTACTTATGCCTTCGTCCTCGCTCTTCCAGACGATGGCGGTGCATTTGATATCTGTAGTGATGCATCCTTGTTGATATTGGGTTGCGTTCTGATACAACATCGGAAAGTCATCTCCTATGCTTCCAGGCAGCTCAAAACTCACGAGAAAACTACCATACTCAATGATCTAGAACTCGGAGCAATGGTCTTTATTCTAAAAATCTGGCGACATTACTTGTACAGCGAGAAGTGTCGCACCTTTACTGATCATAAGAGTTTGAAGTATGTCTTCACCCAGAAGGAGTTGAATTTGAGGCAGAGAATGTGGATGAAACTTATTAGTGACTATGATTGCACTATTGAGTATCATCCTAGTCACGCCAACGTCGTAACAGATGCACTTAGCGGGAAGTTTTATAGATAGCTTGCCTTCCTTTGAGCTATCCATGTTCTGCTACTATTTTTTTTTCGAGAAACCAACGTTAGAATGATACCAGACTCACAGAGAGCATTGTTAGCACACTTCCAAATTAGGCCTGTTTTGGTGGATTTGGTTCGGGAATCTCATAAGCTCGACCAATAATGTGTAGACCTAAAGGAACAAGTGCGGAATGGTTCTGGGTGAGATTTGAAAATCCGAAGAGATGGAGCCTTGATGATGGGAAATAGGTTGTTTATACCTAAGGACAATGAAGTTGTGAAGAAGGAAATTCTTGATGATGCTCATATTCCGGTATATGCCATGTATCTGGGGAGTACCAAATTGTTTCACGCTATCCGTCTGTTCTACTACTGGTATAAGATGAAACGGGATGTCACAGAGTATGTAAAGAGATGTATTATTTGCCATCAGGTGAAGGCGGACAGATAAATACCTGAGGGGCTAATGCAGAATCTCTTTATACCAGCGTGGAAGTGAGAAGACATAACCATGGATTTCATGTATGGTTTACCAAGCACACGGTTGAGGTTTGACGGCATTTGAGTGATTATGGATCAACTCACCAAGACTGCTCATTTCTTACCTGTTTGACAAACCTACACACTCGAGAAGTTAGCACAACTTTTTATTGATAATATTGTCATACTTTATGGTGTACCCATCACCATCGTTTCGAACAAAGATCCAAGATTCACCTCTAGATTTTGGAGAGCGTTCTATGATGCCATGAATACTCAACTATTGTATAGCACTGCCTATCATCCACAGACCGATGGTCAATCTAAAAGGTCAATTTAGACTTTGGAGGACATGTTAAGAGTGTATGTTCTCTAGTGGAAGGGTAGTTGGGATAGTTAACTACTATTAATCGAGTTTGCCTACAACAACAGCTACCACTTCAGTATTGGCATGGCACCGTTTGAGGCACTATATGGGAAAGCATGATGGACACCATTATGTTGGACTGAGGTTAGTGAACGGGTGTTGGTAGGGCCAAAAATTGTCGACACCACTAATACTAATATCCAGTTGATAAAGAGGAACCTAAAGGCAACACAAGATCTACGTAATAGAATTGCGGATCAACATTCCAGGGATCGTGAGTATAAGATTGGTGTTTTTTTCTTCCTGAAGTTGTCGCCTTTGAAGGGTGTGGTTCGTTTTGGTAAACGAGGAAATTTGAGTCCTCGATATGTTGGCCCCTACTGAATCACTGAGAGGATTGGCGTAGTTGCTTATAGATTTGAGCTACCACCAGAATTGTCACAGATTAAAGACTACTCCATGTTTCCATGCTGCGAAAGTATGTACCGGATCCCTTTCATGTTATTCAGCCGGAACCATTAAAGGTGAGTCAAGACGATCATTGAGTTATGTTGAGGAACCAACGACGATCATCGATCGACAGGATAAAGCTTTGAGGAACAAAGTCATACTGTTGAGGAGTTGGTATCCATACCTATTTATCTAAGTTTGTAATCTTGGGATGAAATTCTTTTAAGGGGGTAGATTGTGAAACCCCGTCCCAAATTTAGTGTATTTTCATATTAACTAATTTATGAAATTACCATTCTGCCCTCGAGTTGACTTTGTTTGACCATCTCGTTGAAATGAGTAACGTTAATTTTCTTAAATTATTCTTAACGTACTTATCTCCACGAAAGCGTAGGTGCAAACAGATTTGAATTTGGACTTATAACGAAGATTCTACGTTCAAACGTCGAACGTTTGCGGATATTTTGTATTTCATCTTACACGTTCTTGAATTATGAGCTACTGGGACCCATTTTGGAAAGCTTGTCCCCTTGCTTTTTCCCCTTGGACCCATGCATCCCCTTTCCCTCTTTTCTTTTTTCTGATTTTTGTAACTCTCTCTCTCTCCGTCACTTTTCATTTTCTCCATTTTTTTGCTATCTCTTCCCTCTCACTCCCGTGCTCTCTCTCTCTGCATTTCTCACTCTCCTCTTTGAAAATCACACAACCATCCCAAACCACCACCACGTGGACAGAGAAGCTTCGGGAAACCCCGTGCCAACCGAGGAACCCTTTAACGATGTGGTCATTATTCATCGTCTTCCCCGACGTGTTTCATGATTTTTCCGACGTTGGTAATCTTCTAGAAACTCTTGGGATGTGTTTTAAGAGTAGATCAAAACTTCTTTTGAGTTGTACTTACATGTTAATCGTAGAAAATAGCTAATTTTTCGATGAGCATTGCCACTTTCGAGGTGTTTTCTGCCAGACCATGATGCGTTAGTAGTTGTGTAAGGTACCATTCTTTTCATCCCATTGAGTACTATAACTTTGGTTTTTGAACCACTTGATTTGGTTAAGTATTGAAGAAGTTATGAGCGTTTGAAAATTAGCCTAAAAACCAGCCAAACTATGGCTTGAAACCGGGTCGACCCAACCCGTTTAACATCAACCCAAATTCATTTGGGCCATGTTATCTAGCCTAATAACCTAAGCCTGAACCCAATTGAGCCTAGCCCAATAATCTAGTAACCTAGAAACCTAACCAGGCCTTTGCGTCATAGAGTCTAGCCCAAGCTTTAGGCCCAAACCCAAATAACCCCATGCCCAAGCCAGGACCCTAGGCCCAAGCCTAGAAACCCAAACCCTAACCCTAGCCAGCACGTGGGTCCGTGCATGAGCCTGTGTGTGGGTGAGAGTGAGGCTGAGCTTTAGCCGGCGCGAGGAACACAAACACCTCCATCGGAGGCACATGGTGGCGTCGGTGACTTTTCCACCAACTTTTCAGCAACCCATATTGACGTGTAGGGCAACGCGTGGTCGTCGAGGCCGCCACTTTATGGCGGCGTGTGAGGCCGCGTGTAGCAACGCGTAGGGGTACCCGAGGTCCCCCCTTATGTTTTTCGACGTCTTGAATTCGTTTATGACGTTCGTTTTCTAAAATTCAACCATTATGATAGAGTTTTGTTAAGGTGCAAGAGGAAAATGTTGACGAGCGAATGAACTCTATATATAAGAGGATTGTAAAGCATCTTGGCTAAAACTAACAAAAGCTGTCAAGTTCAATGTCAAATCCCGAAGACCAAGGCCACCCTCATGCTTAGGTTGACACACAATACTCCAATCAACAATTACTAGCTTTCGTGAAACCAAGTCCCCTGACCAAATAAAATTTCCTGTACAAGCAGAGAGATGCTTTAAAAGGCAAATGGGCCATTGATAAACTGAGATGCTATGAAAAAAACAAGTTTTGATAAACAAATTGCACCAATTAGAGTAGTCACTTGAAATAAGAGCTTTAGTCTTATCCACCAAAGCTTGAAAGTGAATTCTGCTTGGCTCACCACGAAAAATGGATTCCAAGATAAATGAAAGGAACAACACCCATACAAGTTGTCCCGATGCATAACCATACTTATCCAAAAACTTTCGAATAGAACGAAGAGATCGAACATTCCCATGAGAAAAAATAAAAAGATCATTAGCACATAACACATGAGTTGGAGGGCAACAACTCGGTGGAGCTGAAATAGTAATGATTTGTCCAGTAGAGCAGAGTAGAGTAAAGATAAACTTCTACTCAGAGCTTCCTAAGCTAAACAAAAAAGTAGTGGAGAAAGAGGATCTCCCTGACGTACACCTTGAGAACAAGATAGAATCTGAGAAAGTAGCACAAGTCTGCAACAAATGAATACAAATTTACGTTGGAATGAGATGCACTAATTCAGGGCATTCGGATATAATTGGAATAGCTAATTGCTACGGAATAATTATTTTGAATTATTGTGTTTAGTTGTTTGTTAATTGAGTTTAAGTTGGTGTCTTTGGAAGAATGGTTTTAGCTAGTGGCATAGGTGAGATGACAACATTTTTTGCAAAGCTTAATAGGAACTTTTGTAATCCCTTCAAATGTTTCAATGAACAAAAAGAGGGAAAATTTTCCCATAACAAATGAGAAGCATATTCATTTTAAGTTTGCAATTAGAGTTGAGTGACTCCTCCTACATTGAGTGACATCCACAATTAGCAATGTGAAATTATTTAGATGCCTCTTGTCGAGTGATTCCAGACTATTTGGTTGACCTCATCATTTTCGCCTATTTGTTAAGTGTTGGGCTTAAATTAAATCAAGAGCATGGGGACAAAATGGCCAACCAAATTTACCCCAAACTCTTCAAGCACCATATCCAGATGGCCATCCAAATTTCATTGAACTACGAGTCGACTTGATTCTCCTAAAAAAAAGAACACATAGGCAAGCTACAAAATCAAGTATGACATTTCTTCGTAATTTTAATCATAGAGTGTTTCTCTTGTGGCACATTGCAAAAGATTGTAATTAAAACATTACTTAATCATGAATGGATCCAAACTTAAATAATATAACCCTATTTTTTTCGAGTAACGGTGAAATTGTGTTAGAAGAAATTTGTTCCCAAATTACAAGTTTTCGTCAACATTCTCTGTAGACATGCAAATTTCGATAAAAAATAATGTTCACCAATGCATTAAATTTCAGTATGTGAGGACTTACGTGGCATGCAATGACGGACGATATTTGATGGAAAGTGATATTTGATTTTAATTTAAATTAACAAATTAATTAATTTATTTAAATTAAATGAAAATGTTAAATTGGGAAGATTGATTTGTTTGATTTTTAATTTAATTTTTATTTGATTAAATCAAATATTAATTGAAGGAGTAAAATCACAAATCACGAACAAAGACATGAATGAGGCCTTGGTCCTTTCGTAGGCAAAGCTTGGAAAGTCTATAAATAGGAGGCTTCAGGACAAAGAAATGGTCCAAAAATCGTTTTCACGCCCAGACACTAAAACTTTAAAACTCTAAAGCTCTCAAACATCCAAATTCCCAAACACTCAGAAGAATTCAGAAAGCCGTCTACGTTCTTCGCCAAAACCTGTGAAGAATCATCAAGCACCACACGTGCCGGTTCTTCCCTCGCCACAAGCCAAATCGTTGATACAATCATTCATCAAAGATCAAGTCATCGCGACCCTTGGATTAACAACCCCTACATACACACTTTACATATTTAGAGATCGAATCAGAGGATTCAATTAAAGAGATTGTAATCCTACAAATTTATTAATATAAATATTCTTTAGACATGTGTTTTTATTTCATTTGTCATAGAATTTCGTATGTACAACCTCAAACTAATTATTCATCAGCACTTACAGGTACAACATTCAACACATCTATGATCCTTGTATTTGATCCAACAATTTTCGAACCCTCAATTTAAGCTAATAAATCAATTCAAAAATTAAATATACGTGGATACTATATTGGCGTGCTACTCAAGAAAAATGAATGGTCATCATTAAGGGGAGGAAAGAATAATGCAAGCTTTTCAATCTCCAATTACAAGGTGAGATTCCTCATAAGAAAAGAAACAAAAATTACAAATTACAAAGTGAAAAAGACTTGATAGGAAGTGGTGGGATCCACACTTAAAACCATTACCGCAACGTCTATAAATTTCACATGAGGATATTTTTCGAATTATCTTTGTGAATTATTCGGTAATTATTTTATTATGTTTGTTTATTATGTTTGTGACTCCACATGGGCATGCACAGTTAACGTAATGACATCATGCTTTGCCTTGAGCAAGGCTTTCCAACTTCCACGTGTCAGACTCCAGAATGTTCTTGAGTCCTCTCGATTTTATCATTCCCACTACACGGCAGAATAAAATTAACTAAAAATTAACGCGTTAAGGCTAGAACTTGAACTCAAGGCTCTAGACTTATTTATAAATTTGCACCTTGAGTTTTAGTAGTTATTACATTTAGGTCTTTAAACCTTTTTTATTTGAGAGTTTTAACGAAAAACCCACGACACTGTTCACTTTAACGAAAAACCACATTTTTACACGAAAAAGTCAATCTTGGTACTATTCACTTTACCCTTTATTTTGTTCTTATCATTAAAACTCAAAGTTTTCAAACCATTTTCATTAGTTTTCCTTTTTTATTTTCTTGGATCAAATGGGTCACATATCTTTTTAAAACGTGGTAAAATGAGGATAATCCATAGAACTAACTAATTATATTATGACATCTAATCTAATCTCTTGAACTTTGTTCTCAACATTCTGAAAAAAAATTCCTTGACAATCCATTACAACTTTATAAATGGTTTACGTTCTCAATGGTTTTCTTTGGTTCTTATTCATGTGGTGCTAGCCATATAGGAGATTTACTGTTTTTTATGTGTGTAAATTATTTCTAGTTTAAATTATTAGTTCTTAGAAAATTTATACATTTGGCACCTCTGTAATTGTATAATTTGTTGGTTGATTAATAAAATCCTTCTACCGATTCTTGTAAAAATAATAAAGGTTGTGTGCAATTCAAGTTAGACGGTTTCCAGTTGTAATGAAAATCAAGTGGTAGATTGTTTTGTTTAGATAGAGACCTTATTCTTCAGCCCACTACACCCAACATAAAAGCTCTTATATCCCTGTTAGTGCTATAGCTTAGAATAGTAATATAACTTGCAAATAAATTCGTGTAAAATTAACTGTAGCGAAGGTAGCTAGGGGAGTGTACTCTCTTCTCATCACCCAAGTTAAAATTTATCACACGGTAATTTGAATTGGATAAAAATATTATTGGATAAAAATTTATCACTCGGAAAATATACTGGTCAATGCAAAAGTCCTGTGCTTTGAGTCATAAGTGGGTCTTTGACGAGCGTGTATAAATACAACTTCACTGAAATGCTGCTTCCCCACACAAATCCAAAACATTGATCAAGAATCACAGTTCAAAGTTGAGAGAGAGAGAGAGAGAGAGAGAGTGGCAGCAGCAGCAGCATGACAACCGAAGAAGGAGATGCAGTTCATGTGAATGTGATCCCACTGCCTGGGTTCAGATTCCACCCCAGTGATGAGTCGCTGGTCAGCTACTACTTGAAGAACAAGATACAGGGCACCGACTCCCATTTCCGCTACGTCATCCCTGAAATCGATGTCTGCAAGTACGAGCCCTGGGAAATTCCTGGTAAACCCACTAATCTGTCTCACTTTTTCTTCACTAGCCATTTCTTATTTCTGGTGGATTCTGATGCTGTTTATTTAAATTTATTATATTGTTGCGGTTTCTTTTTTCATTTCAGAATTGAATTGGGTTGGTTTCTTTTTTGTTTTTTTTTTTTTAGTAATTCCAGTGCTCTGTTTATATTGATGATCTTGTTGTATGCATAAATTCCAGTGCCCACTGCCCTCCCTTAGCATAATTGAGAGTAGTAAAATCGCTTGTACCTCAAGAATTGAAGTGGGTTGGTTTCAATTTTAATTTATTGTTTTGTGTTTTATCAAAAACAAAAAAAATTTGCTTTGTGTTTTCGATTTAATTTCCCTTTAAAGAGCCAACCCACATCTCTTTCCTATGGTATGATATTGTTGCACACAAAAATTTATGATCGTGTTTCTGTGTTTCTTTTTCTTCTTCAAGAGTTGGACGGGTTGGTTTCAAATTTTGAACATTTTGTTTTGTTGTTGGATTTTAGCATTCTTCCCAGAAGTTCATGAGAAGGAATGGTTCTTCTTCAGCCCGCCCAAATACAAGGATATCGACAAGACTCGCCGAGACAGGGCCACGGATCAAGGCTTTTACAAGAGCACAGGAGACGAGCGGGAGATCAGGGCTGAAGAATCCCAAGCTGTGATTGGGAAGAAGAGGTTTCTGACTTTCCGCGAAGGTCGTGGGCTGAAAGCAAAGAAGACCGATTGGGTAATCCATGAGTTTACAGAAACTGAGGTGGGTCCCTTTGTCCTCTGCCTCCTGAAGAACAGGTCACCTACTTATAAGAAGCCGAAGGATGATCCAATCTGCGGCAAGTTAGCTGATTCAGGTGCTAACTCGAACGACAATCAAGCTGCTGTATGTGATGTGATTCCAAAGCCAGTGGAACATCTGGGATACAAAGGGCGAGGAGATGTTAATAGCTCTGAGTCTCCGGATGGTTCTCATCTTATAGACAGTAATAACATTTTGAGCTTTGATGATGAAACTGGTGACGGGAAATTCCCGGATATGGATGATCCAGCTGCATCTGCTAGGTTTCTAGGGGTAAGATAATTATATACTATACATTTTTTTTTTTTGGGTACGGACTCGCAAAGCCTGCTAAAATTTAACACCTGCTTGTTTGTGATTCTTAATCCACCAGTTGCTTGCTGAGAATGAAGAAATTCTGAATTCACCACCTCAAACACCGCACCAGACACCACAAGATTACCTTTCCTCTACATTCCTATCATCAGGAAACGTACAGCTGGGAGCTGTTCTGCAAGCCAATGGCACTAGTGATGATTGTAATACAATACAATACAATGGCACTAGTGATGATTCTCATCTTATAGACAGTAATAACATTTTGAGCTTTGATGATGAAACTGGTGATGGTGAATTCCCGGATTTGGACGATCCAGCTGCATCTGCTAGGTTTCTAGAGGTAAGATAATCATATACTATACATTTTTTTTTTTGTATGGACTCGCAAAGCCTGTTAAAATTTAACAACTGCTTGTTTGTGATTCTTAATCCACCAGTTGCTTGCTGAGAATGAAGAAATTCTGAATTCACCACCTCAAACACCGCACCAGACACCACAAGATTACCTTTCCTCTACATTCCTATCATCAGGAAACATACAGCTGGGAGCTGTTCTGCAAGCCAATGGCACTAGTGATGATTGTAATACAATACAATCACCATTTGGAGATAATAATTATTCTTTTACTGATAAGAATGATATTTCAACCTGTGATGAAGGTGAACCTCATAGCTTCACCTTCGAAAATAAAGCTGCAGATGATATGTCTCAAGAGGTGAGAATAAACATGCTTATTTGAATACTCTAATATTAACTTTAATAAAACAAAAGTTTATTAAAACTTAACCTTCTTATTTGTGATTTTTAATCCTGTTAGCCATAAAGGGACATGAATGTATTTTAATTACATGTCGCACAACAGTCATCAATATACACAAAACTCAAAAATTTTATGGATGCCAATATTTTTTATGATGAATGCATAAAATGGCAGCCTCAAATTGGAGATGAATATTCACATGTTAATTGCAAAAATAATATTTCAACCAATGATAAAAATGAGCCGGTTAGCTACAATGCATTTGGTTTGAAAAATCAATATACAGAAAGCATGATTCTGGAGGTCGGAATAATCATGCTTGAACATTACTTTTGACACTTGTATATGAAAAACTTAACAGTCGCTGGTTTGTGATTCTTAATCTTGCAGGCATGTGTTCAACCAGAAAAATATCTGGGAGGCGTTCTGCATGCCGATATTTGTGACAACGGCTACAACAATTGGCAACCTACATGTTGGGATAAAGATTCTTATCTGAAGAATATTTCAACCAATGTTAAGGATAAACAATTTAGCAGCATCGCTTCTAATTTTGAAAATCAAACTACGAATAAAAGGAAGAGGTAGCTGGCAGCAATTGAAAACATTCTTTCAATTTCCCGAAAATAACACCCCGAAGTCGTTAGTCAAGTCCTCCACGGAATGACGATTCAACCAAGCCGTAGTTCTCGCCTTATTGGCAATGCTTATATCTGCCCTGCAGTTGTTGGTGCATGGTTGCTGGAGTCTCTATCAGTCTACATATTATTGATAATTAAGATGTGATCTTGTGTATAATTGGTTGTAGTTTAAGATCTTAAACCTTTCTGTAAGTATATCCTTGTGTATTGTTTATCAGAACCTCTTAGTATTGAATGAAATTTTGTGTATTGTTTTCTCTTTCCATATGTATATATGAGTTCTGTACCCGATAATGTTACATGTTATCTATGTTACACCCAACTAGGGAGAAAAAGAAAGAATATTCAGCTGCAATTAAGCGTCCATTGTTTCGGCATTCCATGTGCAGCTGCAAAATCAAACAAACCATTGTTCCATTTAAATGATTTGTCGAGTATTACAAGAGTTTGTAATTAAGAGATTACTTAATCACTTAGTATTACGATCTAATGGTATTTAAGAGATATTAGTTTGATTCTCGTCAAAAAACGAATTTGAACCACATTATTATGGCTAACCCATTGTGAGACTTAGCTCACTCTTCCACTCGTTTAGTGTAGATAAAAAAATAAAAAAAATAAAAAAAAAGAGATTACTTAATCTTGACTGTAAATTTGCTCCTTGTGTTTTAGTAGTTGTTCTATTTGGGTCTTTAAACCTTTTTTTAAAACCAAATTGGTCCCCTGAGTTTGAAAAATGTGGTAAAATGAGGACATTTCATTACAACCTAAAAAATGGTTTAGGTTCTCAATGGTTTCCATTGGTTCTTAGTCGGCCATTTAGGGAATTTACTATTTTTTATGTTAGTGTAAATTATCTCCAGAGCAAATTATTGGTCCTTAGAAAATTACACATTTCGTATCTATATAATTGTGTAATTTGTTGATTGATAAATAAAATCTCGTTATCATTTCTTGTCAAAAATAATAAAAGGTGTGTGCAATTCAATTCAAACAGTTTTTGGTTGTAATGAAAAACAAGCGGTAGATTGTCCTCTTTAGATAGGACCTTATTCTTTAGCCCACTATACCAAGCGTATAAGCTCTCCTATACCAAGTGTTGTTGCTTAGAGTTGTAATAAGACTTGTATTTTTTTTTCTTGAACATATGATATTATCTATACTATGGGAAGGGCGTGAGCTTAACCTTACAATGAGCTAGTAGTAATGTGGTTCAAATTCATCTTTGGCGAAAATCAAACCTAAGATATCTTACTTACAAGTGACGAGGAATATCACTAAACTGTAGTACTAAGTGGTTATAACTTGTAATTAAATTCATGTAAAATTAATCGTATCCAAGTTACAGTGTACTATCCTCTTGTCACCCAAGTTAAAATTTAGGCTTAAATGTCAAAATGGTCCTTGTATTATAGCCATATAGCCGATTTAGTCCTTATGTTTAGTCTTATTGTTTGTCTCTTTTAGCCAATTAAAGACATTTTAGTCAGTCTCTTTTAAAAATTCATAAGAAACATTATATGGGATATAATTATATTTTATCTGTACATAAAAATGCAAATCAATGAGAAATAACACATATAAGAGATAAAACTTCCAATCAGAAAAATAATTAGGTTGTGACATAGAAAGGAGAGAAGGTAATGTTAGGGAGGAGGTCGGTGAATTGGGAGGGAGAATAAAATTTTATTTCATTTTTAAATATTTTAAATCAAATATATAATTTTGTAAATAAGTTTATAATAATTTTTATTTTTATACAAAAATTAAATGGAAATGTTCTTAATTGGCTAACAAAGATAAACACAATGACTAAATTGGCCAAATTGAAAACACAATGACTAAATTAACCCAAATGACTAAAACACATGGATCATTTTAACATTTAAGCCTAAAATTTATCACATTGTAATTTTAACTATAATTTAAATTAGATTACTATGTGGTTTATTTCAAAACGGTTGAATGTTGAATGAGGTATTTTGTGTTGTTTTTTTTGTTTTACTCTTTTTCCTTTTTTTTTTTTTTTTTTTTTTTGTTGCAATCTTTTTTTTAAAGGTAAGTAGCACTCATTGGTATAGTAAGATTGAAAATAAAAGTTTTATAAAATTATGAAAATCAAATATAACAACTAAATTATCTGTAACACTTAATACTACGTAGCATTAATATCATGGTGTTACTTTTGAACTATGGTAAATGTTTCATCCTATTTTTGTCATTAGATTATTGGTGTCGGGTACTTCAATGTCATGGCTGCTAATGTAGTAGACCAAATGAAAAAATGAATCAATGAATGTGGCAAAGGAGAATTCGAATCTAAGATTTAATTTTAGGAATGATTAGACAAAGAGTTAGATTGTCACATGAATAACTCAATTTGAAATATTTTAGGTTGTGGTCGTTAGCAATGTCACGTACATTATTCAAGCTACAAATTTCTTACCAACTGGCTGTATAAAATTTTTATGTTAGTCTAACCAATATAGAGTCTAGACCATTCTGAAATTGTTCTATAAAAAAATACTAATATAATGAAATTCATCTCTATTTTGTTGGACGATTCAAACTCGCATTCTGAAAAGTCGTTATGAATTGTAGTATTGTAAGTGATTTTTATTCTCAATCATAAAGGAAGTTGAGGTTCTGTGTAAAACTTAATTAGTAGTATGACAACTAGCCTATTCCTTAAAGGATCTCCAATGTTAGATACAAAAAGCCATGAAATAGGAACTACATTTTTGGTTGGTCAGAAGCTCTTTAATAGACGAAATGTAAAATATAAACCTTGGTAGGAATATCAAATTTGCAAATTCTTTTCTTTTACGTTTTAGGTGGACCCCACTAGTCTAAGTGAGAAAATAGCATTTCAAAATTACATCTCTTCTATTGGAATAAAACTCACATTTACATTTCGAAAATGTAAAACAAGATATAAATTTGGCTTTACATTTCAAATATAAGTTTCAACATTGAAAAATGCTCTTATAAACACATATGAACTATTATTTCATCGATGTAAAATTCGTATAACAGTCAAAATAAGATCCACTTTAGCATACCATTTGTGGAAATCTTTTAAATTATACACGTGTGCAACTATTAGGTCAGCTAAATATAAAATCGAATATGTACCTTGAACTACATTCTTGTGACTCCATATAAACATGCAATGATGATAACGTAGTGACGTAATGCTCTGCCTTCACAACCAAGGAACAATTAGGAAAAGTTTTCAAAAAAAAAAAAAAAAAAAAACAGGAACAATTAGGAAGATAAAATTTCTAAATTAAATTTTGTAAGTCAGATGATATAGTTGTTGACGATTAAATTATTACAAGTGTTGATTAACGTATTTATTTTTCATTGTTAACACATCATTTAATTTAAAACTTTATTCTCTCTAGCATTACTCTTATTTTGAGTGAGCAAAACTTTACAACTTCTGTACTAGAGAATAAAAATGTTGGTGATTTAATAGATATATGTTTCTCACAATAAAAATATAAGAATTACTTAGGGGTGGTTCAGTATGGGATACCAAACCGAAACCTTAGTCCCAATTCCCAAACCGAAATTTTTGGGATTCCCAATTTCAAGACCGATCCCAAACCAAATTTTCGGGAATCCTAATTTTCGGGAATCCCAAAATAGTTTCGATATTTCGGGACAATTGGGAATCCCGAAATATGATCAAAACACATCTAAATACCTACACTAATACAAGAAAGCAAGAAGCAAATAAAGTATTTTTACACCACAAAGAAGCTAATAACAGAATTTGTATCAGTTGCAGCTTGTACTGATGTGCAATATAAAAGAGAAGTTCCCTTTAACTGCTTATTTCTAGCTGCTCAAAGAACGGTAGTACTATATTACCAACAATGTCCCTATCTGGTATGCTCAGGTTACAATTATTGAAAATTTAGCGAAACACAGTGAATTGAGAATTAGAACAAGCAGTATATAACAAAAGGCAGGTCGGACCGTCAAAGTAGGAGCATGATGCCACTGCCTTGTGAGACCAAACAAACCCTAAATTGACAAACCCTAATCTAGAATTCGAAAATTAAATTTCAAAAACCCTAAATACAAACCCTAATCTAGAATTTGTAAATTAAATTTCACAAACCCTAAATTAAATTTCAAACCCTAAATTAATTCCCACATTTATTTACCCGTGTCTCAATCTAAGAGAGAGAATTGCGTGAGAGACTTCTGAGAGAGAGAATTGCGAGAGAGAGTCTTGCAAGAGAGGGAATCACGAGAGAGAGACCGTGGCTGTGGCTCTGTGTCGTCATTGTCGTGAAGGAAGGCTCTGTGTCGTCACCGTCGAAGAGAGACAACGGTGGATCTGTGTGGTGGTGGGCCGGTGACTGGTCGGAGTTGGTTTTGAGAGTCGAGATAGAGAGGAGGAGAGGGCTCTCTCCGTGGCTGAGTTGAGAGACTGAGTGAGCGTGAGTCTGTGAGAAAGAAATGAAATCGAACTTGACGGGGAGAAAGCCTAAGTGCCTAACAAGGAATGGACGACATAGATTAATTTGAAACAATCCAATGGTTCAAATTAACTCCAACTACATATATATATAATAATTAAAAATATATATTTTTGGTTCGGTATGGGAATACCGAAATATTGGGAAGACAATCCCGATTCCCATATCGAAATTTCGGTATTGGTTCGGGATAGCATACCGAAAATTTTGGGAAAATCGGTTTGGGACATTTTTGGTTTGGGATAGGTATTTTTTTGGGTTTGGGATCAGTATTTTTTTGGTTTGGTTCAGAATTTTTGGGAATTTTTTCCACCCCTAGAATTACTAGCCGGGATTGCTAGCACACGTTGCCCTTTTATCCCACTCTCAAAACAAGTTGGACCCATATCATTAAAAACGAAAAAATACAAAAAAATGGTTAAGAAAGGAAAGGGATCTTCTCCGTATCCCTTTTATCAAATCTACTCAATCAGTTAAATCGGACCCTTAAAATTTAATCTAATGGCTAAAAACAAAATATCTCTTTAAAAATTATAATAACTTTAACCGTTCAATCAAATGTTAAAAATTTTAATTAATTAATTGACTAAATTTAAGGGAAGAGATCCCTTTCCGTCAAGAAGAACTCAAAATGGCAGAACACTTAAATCGATGACGAGACCCACTTCTTAAAAATGCCATAAAATGAAAAAAAATTAGCACGGCGTACTCAAACGTCAACGTCAAGGGAATAGTCTGACACTTTGACTCCACTGTCTTATTATG